TGTCCTGCGGCCTGGAGATGTAGCCTGAACCTGGCTTCTGGGGCACAACGCGCCTCTGATGTTGTGGTTGTGGACCTCTCCGGTCAGTGATCAGTGCGTGCATTTGGGGCCTCAAAGGGCTCTTGGCAAAGCCCACATTTCAGGGCCCCACGCACCGCCCACCCCGGAGCACTGAGGAGAAAAACCCAACTGCTCTGGTGAGAGAGGAGCGGTGAGCCCTAGGGGCTCTGGAGTTTCAGAAGCCATCAGCCAGGGTGTCCGAAAACTCTTGTCTTGGGTGACAAACTAACCTCGGGAATCACTGGACCTTCTAAGTACGGACCAGAGTTGGCCTCCAGGCCCCACGCAGGCAGAACCAAATGAAAACACGCATAAAAGATTAAAACTAGCAACGCTTTTTGCAAAGGGAAAAGGTATTTTTCCCCCCTCATATGGCTTGAAGTGACCCCGGAGAGACTTGGGAACAGTTTTTAGGTATCTCCAGGAGGCCAAGGTCCCTAGAAGTGGGTTTGCGGTTGAGGTTGACGACACGGAGAGGATAATTGGAGGAAGAGGCGAGAACAAGCTCCCAAGGCTAGTGCCGCTTTTCTCGCTCTTCCTACTTGTCTGCTCAGCGAACCGCGAGAACCGGCAAGGCAGTCGCTCTAGCTAGAGCGAATTAGTTCACCAAAGACTTAAAAGAGCCTTTCTGATTTTAGATTATATTTTTGGAAGATCTGTAGACGTCGACGTTTAACTACAGGAAGTTAAAAAAAAAAAAAAAAAAACCACGGAATGCATTCCGAATTCCAGTTAAATCCTCTACTTAAAACTGCTCGCTGCATTTTCAGATAGCACACGCATCAATACAAATAGATGCACAAGCACCCTTTGTTTTAGGCATTTTCGTTTGAAGAAATACTGCGTTTCTTTCCACAAAGATAGTATCCTGATTTCAGTGTGGTATTGGCATGAAAGGAACTGGCTTTGGTGAGGAAATCTCAATTTATATGTCTTTAAAAGTGCTGGAATGGATCAGATCTGAGAAGATATGAGTGAAAACTTTTCACCCTGAGAAATCGAAACTCAGAGATGGCCTGTAGTTTACGCCTCAGACCACACAGTTTGCTGGATTTGGACTGATTTTTCTCTAGGGAAAGAGAAATGATGAGCTGTTTAGAAAATTGATTCCAAACAAAATCTAGAAAAATTGCCCACCCGTGCAAAACAAGCCATGATTTCAGAGCCCACTTTAAAAAAAAAAAAAATGCCTCTCACAACATTAGTTCATCACGGAAGCACCCAAACTCAAGAAATTAGGTAAGTTTAACACTTTCTAGAACTAAGCAATATGGTTATCGTTTCCTTAAAATTATACACTCAGACTAGATTTATAACTCAAATCAGGGAATGTATCACCCTTCTTACCATTAAAATGCAGTTAATGCTAGTCTGCTCAGAAATTTGAGGACAGGTTTTCAGCGTCTCTAAACTAAAAAAACCAAAACCAAATGCAACACACACCACTACTGACACCAACAAATCAACAAAATTCCATTCAGTGTCGCTGCCAAAAAGGAAGCCCTTTCTCATTTCTTGTCTTTTTTTGACCGGGCAAATCATTAAAATGAAATTTCCAGGACAGTAGTCAAAATGATTAAAAGCCCACCTAACATTCCATATATCAGACCAGCTGAGTTTACAGCAACATTATTTTTTCATACTTGAATAGAAAATCACTGTAATGCTACATTTAAAAATTTTTAAAACGGGCCAACTCGGCCCTGTTTCCATAATTAAATAGCTGTTTGTGCAACGAGACAAAATAGTGTCAGATGAAGAAAAACTATTGACTATCTGCCTGTTTCATATGTGTAGGAAGAGAGTAACTGTTAGAATTTGACACAAACAAAGGCTTCAAAATTCATCACATTTCCCCTTGGTAATGAAATTACTGTAATGGTTAACCCAAGGCTCTTTAACAGCTGTAATTTAAGTGTGTGTGTGTGTGTGTGTGTGTGTGTGTGTGTCTATAAAGACACCCCCTCACGGGAATTTGCCACCACTTCAGCAAGATCTGTAATCAAATATCCGATGGGAGGGGCTCGTGGGGTGATGGAGGTGAACCCAAGCAGACACTTCGGACTAAAACAAAGCCAAGCTGCTCAGTCATATTTACTTTATCTGACAGTAATTGGCTAAACTGTCTGATAGGAAAACCTATTGTTAATTGAGCACGGATCCAAGATTTCTAAGATCTTTTCCAACAAGAAAATGCAAATGCCCCTGAACGTGCTAGTAACTGGATACCCAGCAGAGCTAGATTCTGCGTCCCGATAAGCCACAAGCCACGGTGGAGGGGGACCTCCAGCAGCGGAGTTTTCCTGTTTTACCTAGCAGCGCACAGTTGGAAGCCCACAGGCCCTGTAGTCGTTTCGGGTGCCCGCTGCCAGCGTAGGAAAGGGAGGCCGCCTGGGTGCGATTGGCCTGGCTGGGAACCTGCTACTTCGAAACCAGGATAAGTCAAGACTTAAACAATTTGGAGAGGGAACCTGGAGATGACCAGAACCCCTACTCTGAGCAAAAATCAAAAACCCAACCTAAAAATCAAGGGGTGGGTGGAAGTCTCTGGATCCGCAGCGCGCAGTCCAGGACAGGTTAGGCCATGGGTGCCGCGCGCTGGCACATTCACCAAGCCCCCATAGGGTACTCCCAAACGGAGTCCTGTCCTGCTGCAGAGCAACTTGGTCAGGGTCCTCAGGAAAGGGTCGTCCAGGTGTGTCTTGAGGATCCCTGACCAAGTAGTGGCTGGGTTTGGAGGAGACCCCTCCACGTGCTCCTGCAGGTGGGGGGAGCAGACCGTCATCTGCATGGGCAGAAGGAAGAGGCCTGAGTGGGCTTCCCCGGAGGCAGCAGGTGTGCGGGTGTGTCTCTGAGTTGCAGGCATTGTTGCACCGAGGGTTTCACTCTGGGGCAAGGTTTGGTGAGGGCAAAGCAGGGCTAAGAAGCAAGAAACTAAGCAAAGAGGCATACAATAACGTTTATCTTTTCTTTTGTCCACATCTTGAAATCACCTGAGGGGGGGGTGGAATTGGAGAGCAGAAGCGAAAAGAGCATTTCTCCGCCTGTTGGCAGAGGGTGGGGGACTAAGACTGGAGCGCGATTTCCTTCTGGTCCTCTCACTGCCAGCTGGGGCACGCAAGTCCACTCAGTCCCCCGACCCTGCAGGGCCGCGCACTCACCCCACCTCGATCGGGACGTTTGCGCTCCGGGTCCTCAGCAAAACCAGGCGCACTCTGCCTCGGCTGAATTCGCCTTTGTAGCGACCGCTGCCCCCGCCTGAGGCGTCAACAGTCTCAAGTCTTAAAAGTGAAAAGGCTCTTGCTACCGAGGAAAGGTTTCGAGGAGCAATGGCCTACCCACAGGTGATCTTTCCCCATCGCCCCAAGGGCACGTGGAGCTTCCCTGGTCCCAGCTTCCCTGGTGGCCCGGGGCTCAGCTTCTTCGCAGTATTTCCGCTCTCCCCCAAGAGCCCCGCCTCCCTCTCCTCCCAACCCTTTCTTTCCAGGGCCGCGGGCACCATCATTCTGCTTCCCTGGGTTCCGCAAGGCCGCTCTCCATATAATCCTATTCGTGCCGCCTCTACCCATTTCCCAGGGTGTCATCCTCTGTGCCCGTGCCTTCCAGTTGAGGCCAGTCTCTCCCAACTGTACGGTTCTAAGGGGGGGGGGGGTGAAGGGAGAGAGACGACAAACAAAAGCCAGGGGCGATCTGGTGGAGAAACTCAAGGTGAAGCCAGAACGGTTCCTTGTTATTGTTATTTCCAAGGCCTGCTGCCCATGCGTTTTGCTATTATCCTCACAACGATGGCGGCAGGAGGCTATTCAGAGGGCTAAGCTTATAGGTAGGTGAATGCCAAAAGTTGGTCCCCATCAGGCAGTTTTCAGAGTCTGAGACTATATACTATATACTATATACTACATACTACATACTACATACTACATACTACATACTACATACACACACGCATTATATATATATATATATATATATATATATATATATATATATTCTCCCCGCAGAATGCAATCACGGTCTCAGAAAGCGAGCCAGACAGCCTTCAGGTAGAGAAATAAGGCGTGTCTGAAAGTTGAGGCCTGTACTCAGACTCCAAAAGGCGGAAAGCCACAGCCGGGTTACCTCCCTTTTGAGACCAGAGCCTGCTCTCACAATCCCTACCAGGTCAGAATCAATGAAGCCAACACTGGCCCGACCTCTGACGCAGAAAAAGGGTAGCTGCACGTTTTGAGCAGTTAGCATTCCTAGACCCGCACTATGCTTCCGGTCTGGTTAGCCTTATTTAACTAGAGCAATTGCCCTAAAAGAGGGAGTTCGGCTCCTTCATACAGACGAGGAAACTGAGAACGTCGAAAACCAAGTAAGTATTGACTCGGGCCAGGACTCGAAGCAAGAGCGACTGAACACCAAAGAACTCCATCATCTTGTCCCTCAGGACCCTGTTCTCTGCAGCCACTGCAAGGGCCGCAAGGGCGAATATGACCTGGACGCTGCCCTCACAGTCTAACTTGGCAGCCAGGTGAACACTAAGTGAGAGGAGTGACAAGTGACATTACTAACGGAGCAAGTTCAGAGGAAGAGGACTTCCGGGCTAGGCAGCGCTTCCTCGGAGGACCAGCAGCTTTCCACTCGTGGAAACGAGGATGGAAAAGGCACTCCACGTGGTGAGAACGGCCAGAGCAGAGACAAGGTGGAATTTGACACGTCGCTCATATTTCCAGGGATACAGCATTCGTCTCTTGAGGAATCAATCCACCGTCCGGTATTTACTGGCCAGGAAGTTTTCCTGCCTCGAAGCAGCTGTAAAGACAGTCTGTGTCATCCTTTTAGGACTTTGTTGGTTCATGGACAAGTGAGCCTCTCAGAACTGCCGCTGATCGGGAAGTGCGGCTAGGTGAAACGGGGATTCGGTGATTCGGACACCGGCTCAAGGCAGCCTCACCCACAACGACTTGGACCTCAAGACTATTCTAGTCCCGGTCTATTCCTGGTAAGGCAGCTACATCCCACTGGGTGGACGCGAAGGGCGTGGCCCACATACGCCAGAACCAATTAGGAAGCGGGCCAGGATGCCGACCCCGCCCCTCGACGTGACGCAGGGCCCCCGGACAGAGGCTTCACAGCCCCGGCCCCAGTCCTTGCAGTGGCTGTAACAAAACCCAGACCCCCAGGTCCCGGCCAATGGAGGCGATTTAGACTGGAGCAGGACCGCGTCTGTCAAAAGCTCGACTCCATAGCATCGCGAAGTCCAGGGGAAGCTGGAGCCGCCGCGCTGCCTCCCCGCCCCCGCCGGGATTTATTGAGTATTTGGACTGGACAATTAAGTGGCCCTGATGATGTTACCAAGCCCGGTCACCTCCACCCCTTTCTCAGTCAAAGACATTTTGAATCTGGAGCAACAGCAGCACTTCCACGGAACTCACTTGCAGGCGGAGTTGGAGCAGCACTTCCACTCGGCTCCCTGCATGCTGGCCGCGGCTGAAGGGTCACAATTTTCTGATGCAGGAGAGGAGGAGGAGGAAGAAGAGGGAGAGAAACTGTCCTATTTGAACTCACTAGCTGCTGCAGAGGGCCACGGAGATTCAGGTCTCTGTCCGCAAAGCTATGTCCACACAGTCCTTCGAGACTCCTGCAGCAGGCCCAAAGAGCAAGAAGAGGAGGTTGTGAGAGAACGGAGCCAAAGTGAGTAAGGGGGAAAGGAAACGCGTCCTACACCTGGAGCAATGGCTCAGCGCCCGTAAACAACCCACAGACCGTGCCAGCAGGGCCGCCCGCCCCTTTCACGTTTGGCTAGGGTCGTGCCTAAGCTAGGTTCAAGGACAGCTGTGCAAAGCACAGGTACCTGAGATGGAGAGAGGGTAGGGTGGAAAAGGAGGTGATTCCCCAGAGCAGGGAGCGAGAGCAGCCCCTGAGGGAAGGGAAAGCGATTATTGCAGCCCCGGTGACAGGGGCCCTGCGGCTGGATCGTAACAGCTAACATCTTCCTCTGTGAGTGTGTGTGTGTGTGTGTGTGTGTGTGTGTGTGTGTGTGTGTGTCTGTGTGTGTTCTCTCGAACATCCTCTTCTCAAAAAGGAGTCAGTAGTCTGGCCATTTTTCTGGCTTTCTTCTCATGTGGCTTGAGTTCTGAGTGAGGCCAGGGCAGTCACCCCTGCTTTCCCGAAAAGGCAGTGCGAGCAGATGAGAGATTGTGCTTTTTAGCAGAAGATAGGGAAAGTTCAGACCATGTGCGTTTAGGGCTCAGCGTTCTCACACCTACAGCACCGTGAGGAGAAGGGATGGATGGTGTGGGGGCCACTCCAGATGGCCGCACCACTCACACCCTTGAGGTGAAGGCCTTAAAAAAAAATCTTAGTGTTTGCTTTGTGTCTCCGGCTGCAAGCCGAATAAAGTGGATAAAGCGCAGAATTTAATTGCTGGGGATTCTGGACACCCAGCAGACCAGAAGTAGTAGGAAAATCAGACAACTCAATAAGCCCCCAGGAGATGTCTGAAAGAAGACAGAATCAAAGAATCTCTTCTCCAAGTGAAGTTTTGATGTGGCTGAAACCAAGGCACTTCCCCGTCAGCTCGCCAGGCCTAAAACATACACGAAACTGTCTAAATGTGTCCATCCAACTTTTTTTCCCTCTGTAAGGAAACATACATATAGTGTTACACATATTCTCAGTAGTTTTGATAAGAAAAAAAATCAATTCGTGAGTTGCACATACGCTTTACACTTAAATATTTCTGAACAGAAAAAAAATTGCAATCAACCCATGCATCCCGGCTTCCTGTCCCCAATACCACCAACGCGTTTCACATCTTCAGGTATCCGTGGAGAGTGGTAGGCAAACGAGTTTGCAAATACTGTCGTTGTTAACGTAGATGCACGCTTTCATCTTGAAAACAGTCATTAGCGCGTCAGGCGGCACGCTTAATCTCCTTTCTCTCTGATACTCAAGTTTTAACAAATGCGAGCTAACTACTCGCCATCGAACAGGATTCCTCCCGTGGAGGTGCTCAGCCTAATGCAGGACCCCTGAGCATAGGGAACCATAAACTTTCCCCACATCTAAGCATTTTCTACCGAGTGTTCTGTGTTCCCGGGCTGTGTGGATGCTGTACAGGGAGCTAAGGTCTTGCTTCTTCCCGCAGAAAGCTGCCAGCTGAAGAAGTCTCTAGAAGCAACTGGAGACTGTAAGGCGAGCGAAGACGGCGAGAGGCCGAAGCCGCGCAGCCGCCGGAAGCCGCGGGTGCTCTTCTCGCAAGCTCAGGTCTTCGAGCTGGAGCGCAGGTTCAAGCAGCAGCGGTACCTGTCGGCGCCCGAGCGCGAGCACCTCGCCAGCAGCCTGAAGCTCACGTCCACGCAGGTGAAAATCTGGTTCCAGAACCGCAGGTACAAGTGCAAGAGGCAGCGGCAGGACAAGTCCCTGGAGCTGGGGACTCATGCGCCGCCGCCGCCACCTCGCCGCGTGGCAGTGCCGGTGCTGGTGCGGGACGGCAAGCCTTGCGTCACGCCCAGCGCGCAGGCCTACGGCTCGCCCTACAGCGTGGGTGCCGGCGCCTATTCCTACAACAGCTTCCCCGCCTACGGCTACGGGAACTCGGCCGCCGCCGCTGCTGCCGCCGCTGCAGCCGCAGCCGCGGCCGCGGCCTACAGCGGGAGCTACGGCTGCACCTACCCGACAGGCGGTGGCGGTGGCGGGGCCTCGGCAGCGACCACCGCCATGCAGCCCGCCTGCAGCGCCACCGGCGGCGGATCCTTTGTGAATGTGGGCAACCTGGGAGGCTTTGGCAGCGGTGCGGGCGCTCAACCTTTGCACCAGGGTGCGGCAGCCGGGGCCGCGTGCGCTCAGGGGACCTTGCAGGGCATCAGGGCTTGGTGAGGACTGGGCAGGACACGCGGCGGGCATCCTACCGCTGCTAGGCGCCGCGGGAATGAGACGTGAGAAAGGCCAGACCCGAGGGCCAGGCACCCTCGTTAAAATAAAATATGGACCTATCGCTCCCCAAGGGGCCAGGGTCCCAGCGCACTCTAGGCCTGGGGCTCGGCGCAGAAACGCACGTCCTGGTCGAGTGGTCAAGACTGTCTGAGACAGAAATACCGGACGCCAGGGAAGAGGTTGGCCCCCACCCTGGCTCTGCCGGGAGTGCGGGAGGCTGGGACTCCAGCTGTCGCTTGCTCTCTCCGGAGGGCGGCTTTTTCTCCTTCGACCTTCCCTTGGCCTTCTCGATGTACGGTCGGGGAACCGGACCAAACAGGGAAAAGAAGAAAGAAAGAAAGAAAGAAAGAAAGAAAGAAAGAAAGAAAGAAAGAAAGAAAGAAAGAAAGAAAGAAAGGGATAGTTGTGGAAAGATAGTGCAGAAGGGGAAAATGGGGTAGTGGCATGAGAAATCCCACCGATCCGCAGCCCCCTTTTCTAGCCTGGATGCCTACAACACAGTGCATTTTCGTTTTCCAACGGCCTCTCTTCCGAGACAAGACTCTGCCTGGATCTCCGGATTGTCAGGGGACTCTTCTTGGAGACCACCACCCCAGTGAGATCGGAATTTGGGGGAAGGGGGGCAGCTGAGCAAATCGAGGACCTGGTGGCCCAGCCTAGGTGTCCCAGGTTGGTTCCTTTCTGTTTTGTATTCTGTATTCAGCACATTTTCTCTCTGTATAACTATACCCACATGCCATGTACACACCCGCTGTCATACACTACAGGAGTCAATAAAGAAGGTGCAATATTTCTGAACTGTTTGGCTTGCTGCAGACTTGTTTAGCCCTCAAAGACTGTGGAGGAGCACCCCCCCCAAAACAGGGCGGGAAGCGAGGAAAACACCCTGGGCATCTGGGCCCGGTGCCCCTGAGCCCGGCCCCAGGCTGCAAGTTTGGTCTCTTCGCTGCTTTGTTCATTAATTTCTCTTTAGCTTTGTGGGCCGAACAGGCCGGAGGGAGGCTCTGGGTCTTCTGAGGTTTCAGGACTTCGTAATCCCCACCCCCACCCACCGCTACATTTTACCCAGATGCCCAGACTTGGTGCAGGGACCTGCCTTGGTCAAGCTGGGACTCTGCCCGACCTCGAGGGTGTCCGAGGAAGGCTTGAAAAGCTCGCCTCCAGGCTCAGCCTTGGGCGGCTCCTTCCTCGGCGGCCACCGGGCCTTCGAGCGCGCCTGGGGGCGCTGCGTTGCGCCCCGCCGCGGTCGAGCTCTCCCCCTCGGCCGCCCTCCCTTCTCCCCCGGCGGCCGCGGCTTTATGCGGCTCCTTGTCACTAGCGGAGAATGCCTGTGCGAGGCCTGTGCTGCCTGCCACACGGCCGATTGTGAGCGTGCCAAGGCGGGTGAATGGGGAGGCCTCTGAGCGCCGCGCCATTGTGGGGCCGGGCCTGGCTGAAAGGCGGCTCCGGGCCGGGAAGGTGCGGAAAGAATGGCTTTTTATTGGAGTCCCGAACAAAAGGTGTGGTAGGAAGGCGAGGTCCCCTGTGCGAACAAAAACCCCAGCGCGTCGGATTGACGTCCCCCCCGAGCTCCCCATTGCTTCTCAGAGCGGGGGCTTTGTGCAGCAGTCTGCTCAACAGAGGGACGGAGAAATGCGCGGGGGTTTTGTTCCCCGGTTTTTTCTCGTGTGTGGGGGAAGGGGAGGCCGGGGGGCCGGGGGCTGGGCGGGCAGCAGGGAGGGGCGCCCTGATTAGGCCGGGCGGGCCGGGGCGCAGAGAGGTTCAGCGGGAGTCGGCCGCCTGAATGCAGGGTCATTATTGCTACAAGTTTAGCAATTTCGCCCTTGCTAGAGGGGGTGGGGGCTGTTAGGTTGCTGCGAGGCGGCTAGTCTGAGGAGCCAGAGAGACCCGAAGGGCAGGAGGGGGAAAAAAGAGGAGGAGATGGGGAGGGAGACGGCTGGCAGGCAGGCAAGATAGCGCCCCCAAACCCTCTGACCGCCCAGGTCGCACTGGGACCCACGCCCAAAGGGCCTAGTCCCAAGGCTGTAGAGGGGCTGGAGGGAGGAGGGAGACCTTGTCCCTCCTTGCTCTCGGGTAACTGAATGACCCCAGAGCCGGCTTGAGTTAATGCACCAGATTCCTGGACCCCCAGCTTATTTAACGTTAAATTGCCGTGAGCTGGAACCCCTCCTCCCACCACCCCATAATCACCAAGGGGTGGCACACGCCATCTTCTTACCAAGCTCCTGGTCCTAGGTTATTTAGCCAGGAGTTTCTTAAACTGAAGGCTGGAGGAGGAATTCTCATTTTCACACCAGTTGGTTCATTCATTCAATTATATACACCTAGAACCTATTTATTTGCACTGTTCTAGATGCTGGGAATGGGGGTGGCAGAAACCCACTGTTCATAGATTCCTGAATTCATTTTTGGGTATGTTGAGTGCAATGGTGGGACGTGACAGCCAAATCAGTGGGGTTGGGGGGGTTAGACAGCGGGTAGAATTTAAAGTGTAGATAGAGTAAAATACTAAGAATCGAAGTCCTTTGATATAAGAGCCAGAAAGACACATTTCCGTTGGTACCTGACTAGGAAAGCCTAAAAAGAAACCACTGACCTCTCACCCACAAAGCTCCACTACAGCAATGTTATCTTTCTCTGGGACTTCTATCCTCATCTTTCTGGTAAAATAATTCCCTCTTCAAGAAGAACTTTTTCCCTGAACCCCTCAAATGGAGGTGATTACACCCCATCTGTGCCACCAGAGACTTAGGTACTTTCCAGTATCATGCCTGACGTTAGGTGGTGAGAAGGCCTTTTGTCTTCCATGTAAGGTCAAGGAGAGGCAAGCGGACATCTTTGAGGCAGGTAGCAGGGCAAGACATCCATGGGCTGGGAGAGCTCTATAGATGGGCTCCTTCAGCAACTCCTTGAGTGCTCCCCAACCTTGTGGGTAGCTCTGGTGGAGTCAAGCTATGACCTTGGTTTTGGCAGTGAAGGAAATGGGGGAGGGGCTCCTGGCTTACCTGTGCCTGGGCAGGTTCACCTGGCAGCTTATCCTGAACTTATCCTGGGACCAGGTTCTGCTTTCTGTACCATGCTGCCGGGGCAGTTCCTCTCTCTCAGATATTATATTTCTCCCTACAGCTCAAGATGTAAGCAAGGAGTCTAGGAACTTAGTGATGACCTTGACACTGAACAGTCTGTGGTTAGGGCAGGACTTGGAAATAAGGAAGAATGAGGTCTGGGAAGTAATGGGATTCCCCTGTAGTCACTAGGTGATGATAGAGAAAAGACAGGCTCAGCCTCCTCACTCTCAGGATGGAGCTTGTGCTGGAGGAGCTGAAGTCTCTAGGAGTAGCAACCCTTGCTCTCCTGTAGGTAGACACACACACACACACACACACACACACACACACACACACACACAGGCACCAGCTTCCTGCTGCCTATGAATTCCCAATGCTCCTAGCACCAGACCCTCACCTTCCCCGCCGGCTTCCTCCTGTCCAGTCAGCCTTCCTTGACTCTGCATCCTCTTAGGTTCTAGAAGAGGGATGTGACCCTAAGAGAGGAAGCACAGCTGGACCTATGAACTGATTTCCTTGTGGTTTACTTTGCGTGTCTTAAGATAATTAAAGCTAGACTGGACCAACCCCTTCCAGCCCCCTGCCCCACTCTGGGAGCCTGTATACTCCAAATATAAATAGCTCCCACTACTTTGTTAAAGGATTTCCGTCATTGCTGGGGTTCCAGAGCCAGGAACATCTGAGAGTGAAAAACCTTTGACCAATGTAGCATCATTCGGCTTCTGGGCAGGGGCAGGGAAGGGGCAGAGAAGATCTTTCTGAAGTTGCTTCCCACAACACTGTTCTACAAGCCTAGAGGAATCTCTCTCTCTCTCTCTCTCTCTCTCTCTCTCTCTCTCTCACACACACACACACACATACACATGGGGGAGGGGGGAAGAACGCTTGCACATGAGAGCCTTCTTATCACCAAGAGCCTTCAGGTCATGTAAGTTGTCTCTCTGGGCTCTACTCTCTGCCTCTAAGTTAGAGATAAGGATAAATTGCAATTTCCAGCTGGCTTCTGGCTACAACCCTCCTTGCATCCCTAAATTTGTATATAAACACTATTCACAGTGACTTATACCACACCAGGCTGAGGAGGGTTTTTTTTTTTTCTTTTTAAAGATTTACATATTACTATGTGTACAGTGTCTTGTCTGCGGGTTAGTCAGAAGAGGACTTCATTTCCCACTATAGATGGTTGTGAGCACTGTGTGGCTGCTGGGAATTGAACCTCAGGACCTCTGGAAGAGCAGTCAGTGCTCTTAACCTCTGAGCCATCTCTCCAGTCCTCAGTTTCTCTTTTTAGAATCTACAATAATGTGCACAAATAGAAAGTGCACAAATCAGCAAATGGCCATGAACACTCAGGTACAGTTTATCCTGGCTTTGAAAAATTAAAGAGATGCCTCCCCCCCCCCCAAAAAAAATCCCCAGTGGCTTAGTTCAAGCCTGGAACTAGGCGAATGCTTGCCAGTGTGCAGGCTGAGAACTGGACTGCCACGGTTGGGGGATTCCGCCCAGCAGGCTTGTACTCCCCGGTTGTGTCTTTGCAGATAAACCTCTTGAGGACAGAGGTGCTCCTAACGCTCAGTAAACGATCTGGCCCCAACCTGGAGGGGAAGACCCAGGAGAAAGGAGTCCTCTTTAGCTCATCACTGCAGGAGAAAAGGGTCCTGAAGAGAAACCCGACCGGCTGTTGGCTGTTTAAGGACCTGCTGGTACCAAAGGACAGCTGTCTGTGGCCACGCATCTCTGTAGGGTGCGGCTAGGGGCGGGAGCTTTGGTGGAGAACTGCCTACAGAGGCCACAAGGTTGGAGGATGGAGTCTGCCTACTTCTCCTTGGCTTTAGGGTTCAGAGTCACAGAGGGGACTTCCTGGGCACCAGCTCCCAAACTCCAGGGTCCTAGAAGGACTTGGTGTGAGCCTACACGGTTCAGGCCCC